GATTTTTAATGAAATAGATAACTTTCAAGAATTCCTAATTAAAGCACTTCTAGGGCTGTGTCCCAAAGAGATCATAAAAATGGGAAAAGGACCCACATGTACAAAAATATTTATAGCAGCTCTTTTTGTGGTGGCAAAGAATTGGAAATTGAGGGGATGCCCATCAATTGGGAAATGGCTGAACAAGTTGTGGTATATAAATGTAATGGAATACTATGATGAGCAGGTGGACTTCAGAAAAACCTGGAAAGAGTTGTATGGACTGATGCAAAGTAAAATGAGCAGAACTGGGAGAAATAGCCACATTGTATGATGACTAACTTTGAGAGACTTAACCCTTCTCAGCAATACAACGATCTAAGACATCTCCAAAAGTCTCATGATGGAAAATATTATCCACATCCAGAGAAAGAACTATGGAGTTTGAATGCAGATTGAAGTATAATATCTGCTCTTTTTTTTCTTCTGTTTTGTTTTGTTTCTTCTTTCTTGTGATTCTTTCTATTAGTTCTAATTCTTCTTTACAACATGACTAATGTGAAAATATGTTTAATAGGAATGTATATGTAGAGCCCATATAAGATTGCAAGCCTTCTTGGGGAGGGAGGGGGGAAATTAAAAACTCAAAAGTTTATAGAAGTGAATGTTGAAAACTAAAAATAAACTAATAAAAAGCTTGAGAGACATAAAAAAAATTTAGGCAAAACAAATTCATATGTTGGGCACATCCAAAAAAAATGTATCTCACTCACTAGCTGTGTGACTCTGGGCAAGTCACTTAACCCCAACTGCCTCACCAAAAAAAAAAAGTGTATCTCATCCTGAATATTCATTTCTCAGTTCTCAGTTAGGAATACGATAGCATCTTTTATTATCAGTCTTCTGGAATCATGAATGATCATTTTGTTGATCAAAGACTAAGTATTTTTAAATTGATTGTTTTAAAAATGATGTTATAATATAAAAAAAAGAATTTCTAATTAAAAGACCTGAGCTGAATAAAAAATTTGATCTTCAAATGCAATACTCAAGAGAAGCATAAAAAATGTAAAGAGAAAACATATGGAATTCAATAAGGTTAAATTGCTTTTATTCCTACATGTCAAGAAGATATTCATAACTCTTAAGAACTTTATCAGTATTAGGGCAATTAGAAGGAAGTATACATAGACAGAAGGCATGGGTGAGTTGACTATGATGGGATGATATCCAAAAAAACAAAATTAAGGATTGAGAAAGAAAATTGCACTGGGAGAAGAGCTAAGGGAGAGGTATGATGGAGTAAATTTTCTTACATTAAAGAAATATGACTTTCCCTCTTAGAACCAGATAAATCTAACTAAAAAATAAACAAGAAAGAAGTTAAGGAGGTGAATAGAATTCTAGAAAGGTTAAACAGGTTAGATCTCTGGAGAAAATTGGATGGGAATAGAAAGAAACATACCATTTTCTCAGCAGTACATGGCACTTACATCTTCAATGCCTGACTAAGCTCAGAGTGCTCCACAGCACCTGCTTTAGCCACCTTCGTGACTATTAGAACAAATTGTTCTCATCTTCCCTTTCCACTGAGAGGAAATCTTCACAAGCTTGGGGTAGACACTCCCTTAACTCACCGACAGGTTTGAGGCCCCTCAACCTAGTTTAGCTTGTCTGCCAAGATGGTTCACTGAGGTGTAGCTGCTGTATATGCTACAGCTTCTTGGAGCCACAAGTGAGGTCTTGTGAATCAGGTGGATACCAAAGGCTTGGCAAACCATTACACCAAAGGTGCTCGTCCTCCTTGAACACTCATATATGCCAAATATATATATATATATATATATATATATATATATATATATATACATATATATAGGACTTAACTATAATGTAATACATATATATATATATATACATATATATATATAGGACTTAGGTATAAAAACTGTATCATAAACAAAATAGAGGAGCAATAAAAGAGTTATCTTTTATAACTATTGATAGAAGAAATATTGACCAAATAAGAAATATAGAAGATCACAGGATATAAATTTTGATCATATAAAACTGAAAAGGTTTTGCATAAACAAAATCTAAGAACAAAAAGGAAGAATTAAAAGGAAAACAGTTAAGTGGCAAAAAAAGTCTTTGAAGCAAATTTTTGTGATAAAGTTCTGATATCCAAGATGTATAAGGGATTGATACAAATATTATTAGAACAAGAACCATTTCCCAATAAATGAAAAGGTCAAGGATATGAACAGGCATTTCTCAAAAGAAGAAAGACTAGATTTCACTAGCTATATGTAAAAACACCCCAATTACTACTAATAAAAGAAATGCAAACTAACATAACTTTGAGGGTCCTATCTTACACTCATTAGCTTAGCAAAGATAACAAAGAAGGTAAAAGACATGTATTGCAGAGCTTGTGGAAGGAAAAGCACACTAATGCATTCATGGTGGAACTGTCCATTGGTCCAGTCATTCTGGGAAGCAATTTGGAACTGCAATCTAAAATTCACCAAACTGTGCATATCCCCTAAAAGGATCAAAGAATGAGGGAAATATATATTAAAAAAGGTGATACTTTTTGTTTTGTAGTAGCAAAGTATTGGAAACAAAGTGGTTTTGCATTAGTTAATCAATAAACTTTTATAAGGCATCCTACCATGCACCAGGTACTGTGTTTTAAGTAAGTGCTGATAATAGAAAGGTAAGATGGTCTCTACTCTCAAGGAGCTCCAGTCTAATGGGGACGATAACATGTAAACAACTATGTACGAACAAGCTATATGTAGATGGGGAATGTCTGAACAAATTATAGTATATGAATGTATTGGAATCTTATTGAGCACAAGAATCTATGAAAGGGAAAGATTCAGAGACACCTGGGAGGATTTGCATGAACTGATGCAGAGTGAAGTTGCACCGGCAGGGGTGGCCGTGCTTTATCTCCTAGTGAGATCAGGCAGCCAGGGTCATACTCACCACGAGTCTTCAGAGCCTACCCGGATACACGAAAGGACAAGTCGATGGGGAGGTGTTTAACTTTTTATTACAAAAAAGCCATAAGGAAGAGAGAGAGAGAAATCAGCAGACAGAGAAGCAAAAAGCCAGAGCCAGAGAGAGGGAGCAAGTGGGAGGAACAGGGAGGGTAAATCGTGTGAGCCAAGGAAAGAGTAGAAAGAGCCCCTCCCGTCACCAGACCAAGCCACTTATACTCCGCAATCCAATCCCGCCTCCACACTCATGAAGAACAATCACAATGCACAGCTGGCCGATGACGGAGACTTGGCTAGAACCCATAGGTCTAACCGCCTCAAGGGACACTGAGTGGGCTTGTGGATGGAGACGTGGTAAGAGTCCAGTAGTCTGCCGCCTCAACCACATCAGCTCAACCCTTACGTATGTAACTCTCATTCCGTTAGGAGGACGAGTATCATATCATGGACATATTTGTGACCAGCCCAGAATGGTGGGCCCTAACAGAAGTGAAGCAAGAATTATGATTAAAGCAATAATTAATCATTACTCCAGAAGACTGATGATTATACATCCTTCTCTTGGCAAAGAGGAAATGGACTAGAGACAGAATGAGACATACGTTTTCATACCTCAACATCACATGGATTTGCTGTGATTTACTGAACTTATTAAAAGGGTGGGTTTTTATGTGGGTAGGGAGGAAGTGGTGGAGTAATGATAGTAATATTAAAAAAGAAGATGAAGAAAAGGAAAAGAGAAGCAATGAAAATAACTTTTAAAAACACAAAAAAGCAGGATGCTCAGAAGGAGACACAGAAGCAGAACAGTGTTGTGAATTGTAATAGTTACTTAATTCATTCACTCAACCTCTGTTTGCCTCAGTTTCCCAACTGTAAAATGGAGATAACAATGGTACCTATTCCCAGAGTCACTGTGAGGATCAAATGAATTTGTAAAGCACTTAGCACTGTCCTAGGCACATAGTAGGCAATATATAAATGTTAACTACTACTACTACTACTACTGCTGTTGCTGCTGCTGCTGCTGCTACTACTACATCTTTCTGGTTTTTGTATGGGGAAATGTTCATGTTGATGTTTGCCAAATTCATGAGAATATTTTAAAAATCTGCAAAATGAATCAAGCATGAAACCATGCTAGACATGGTTTGTTCTGAATAATTTTTTTTTAGGCAATTGGGGTTAAGTGACTTGCCCAGGGTCACACAACTAGTAAGTGTCAATTGCTTGATCTGAGGCCACATTTGTACTCAGGTCCTCCTGACTCCAGGGCCAGTGCTCTATCCACTGCGCCACCTAGCTGCCCCCCGCTGAATAATTTTTTTTAAAATGAAATTGATCATATGTAAGGTAGCAAGCATTTTGTTACTGACTTCGTAATCTTTATTCGTGAGTCAGAGGTCTCTACAGTTGCAACACAAAGTTGCTAGAGCAAAGGTCAAAGAGGGGACGACCGCATGAGATACTGGGAAAATGCCCAAGTTTGGTGAAATGACTTGTGTTTTAACTGAGGCTCTGCTTCTACTATGTAACCCCGGGCTAGTCATTTAAAGCAATCTCCCGCTTTTCTCTTTGATTCGCTACTTAAACCAACGATACGCGGAGGCCTCCCAAATTCCCAGAGAGGCACCGGAAGTGCAGCTAGGAGATGGCCCCTTTCAGCAGTTGGAACACAAATAGTGACAAACCCCCCCCCCACCCTACACACACTTCCGGCCTATGTGCCTTTCTCGGTGCACGTGGGCTGTGTCCAGAATTACGGATTGAGTCCGCTTGCGGGGTCCAAGTAGGGAGGAAACTGTAGCCGCTGGGGGCGGGCCTGGGGGCGGATGCTGTGGTTGCAAGCCTCGGGGGCGGGAGTTGGGGGTGGCGGTGCCTTGGCCCTGGGGACCCCCGGAGCGCGAGGGAGAGGAGCCCCCGACCTGAGGGGGGAAGCTTTCCCGGGTCACTGCAGGCGGGAGCTGCGAGGGGGGAGCGGGAGAGGGCGGGGCACGAGACTTAAAGCCCTCGGAAGGCAGGGAGGAGCCTGCGGCTGAGAGGAGCGCTTCTGACCCGGCTCCTGGCCGGCGCGTTCCTCCTTGGAATGGAAACCTAAATCTGCCTCTCCAAATCAAGGATGGCTTTTCCTACGGGACCACACCCTCAAATTCCTAATTCCCTCCTCCGGCGTCCAGCCGGGGTCACCCTTAATCCGCCATCCCTGCCTTGGGCAGCTGTAGTTCTTTGGTCGTCCTGGCAAAGCGGGGTGCATACAGTTCTTAAGCCATGACTCCCTGGCAATTCGGGGTACGGTTCTTAAGTCCCTAAGGGGCAATTTGGGGTATCGGTCTTGAGCCTCTACTAAAAAGCCCTGTGCTTACCCTAATGGGGTTAATGAGGGGGGAGTTGTGGTGGTGGTGGTGGTTAGAGGAATGGAGACGTACGTGTGTGTCTGTGTGTCTGTGTGACACGGTTTTGTTGATACACTTATCTCTCTCAGATCTCTGGCACACTTGGAAACTCCAGGATAAGATAGTGGGGAGACTTCAGTTTGATTTCACAGCGCACAAACTCCAAGCCAGAGCAGGCTTGATGGCAGCAAATTCAAGGGAGGTGGCGGCCCTAGTTCCCCAAACCCTGGATCCCGAGAAGGAAGGAGTCCATCAGGTGTGGTCCTGGGTTAGCTGGTGTGGTATGGCTCTTGCTGTTTAAGCCATTTTTTTCTTTAGGGTTCTTCACCCCCTCTGCACCCTCCCTTTTCGGGGAATAAAAGCTCAGGTGGATAGGGAAAATGTTCATGGAGGATACGGGACTCCAAATGAAATCTAGCATCATAGGTGAATTTGTTGAGTGTATGTGCATGGGCTTGCGAGTATCAAATTTTAATTTATAAGGAAGTCCAAAAAATTATAATAGAGAGTGCACACCCTTTGTTAAGTGCCATGCTAAGAACTGGGGGGGGGGAGAATTATATTATTAATAATTTCTATTAATGAAACAAGACACAACACATGAAACAGATGCAGTATTTTACATAATCCTTTGCCAAATTGAGTAACACACAATAAAGGCCACCGGGAGAATGGAGAAAATATTGTGAACTGGTGTATGCTTCTTGGAGGAGGTGGATAGAGAATAAAAAGTAAAATATGGATAAGCACAATAACAGAAGCAGCTATAATCATGGTGATTTTGTTGTACAATGACTGTTAACAGGCCTCGAATGGAACTGAGGGTTCTGTTGAGTAATGATAAGGTGGCCTATATACAATGAAGCCAGATTTTTTTTTAGGGCCCCAAACTGAGGAGTTTAAACATTGTGTAAGTATTTTGGGAGCCGTTAAAAGTTTGTATCGAATGATGTGAAAGCAGTGGTAGAATATCCAGTGGATTAGGTATAGGAGGCAGGCAGCCTGGTTAGGATACAAAAAGGTAATCCAAGAATGAGATGATAAAGAACTGGACTAGAATGATGGCAGTAGAAATGGAAGAAGGAACATAGAGGAGAGAGCTTTGCTGAACAAAGCCCAGAGAATGAAGGAGATAAAGAGGTGAAATGAAAGTTGATTTCAAGGTATCAGTGCACCTTATGCTTTATGTATTGATCAGGAATCACTAAGTAGGACTGGGAATTTCAAGTTTTTTTCTTGCCCTTATGATAAGTAATTCATTTTTTTCTTCCATCATTCCAGACATTAATCAGTACCTGGTTAGAGAGGGTCTAGGGATTTTTATATTATTTCATCTTCCTGTTAGCCTTGGAAAACAGACCAAACTTCAGGTTCTTGATCCGGTCTTCAAAAAACAAATTCAACAAACAAATCAAGAATTCTGAAGGGAACCAGGAAGGAGATAATTCAGACATAATCCATGCTTTCAAGGAGTTCATGATCTACTGGAGATGAGAGACACATACAACATTAGGGTAAAATCTGTTGGATTGTAGGATTTAGAGCTGGAGAGTTCCTCAGGTCATCTTGTTCAACTCCATTGTTTTAGAGGTAAAATGGCTTGCTTAGGATCATAAAGGTAAAGAGTGGCCTAGCTGGGATTTGATCGCAGGCCTTCTGGTGACAAGTCCACCACATCCCAAGTACGTAAGATTATTATGAAAGTTCCAAGGGGGTAGAATATTTTGAATCCTGTTGATGTTTTTTAATTTTAAGCTTCCATAGTAAATGCCTACTGAACTCAACTTAATTTTGCTATAATGTAATTGTCCACAGGCCATGGATCTGGCACCTGGACAAGAGATTTTGATTCAGACAGAATGGGAGTCAAAGAGATTTCAGCTTCAGCCTGTGACAGATGAGTCTGAATGTGTGACCCTAGAGCCCCACCTGCTTCTACAGAATGGTAAGAAGTAGAACCTATTCTGTTGTTTTTTTTCCCTCCTGTCTGTGTCTCTTTATAGATAGGTTTTAGCCTAGATCACATAGCCTTTAGCATATATCTTACCTTGGTGTAAACAACATTGTAGTTGACATTAAGGCAATATTAACCTTTAACTTAAAATTTTTATAATACTAATTAGGAGTTATTTATCATTGTTCCTCATAACATATTTGTTTTGAGAAATAAGGTAATATTTGAGGTTTTATTTATTTTGGCTAAGGAGAGGCTGCCTGGGTAGTGAGTAGAGACCTGGCCTTTATAATGTTGCCTCTGATACATACTGGCTTTGTGACTTTGGGCAAAGCATTTAGTTTCTCAGTGTCCCAGGCAACTCTTGTAGACTATACATTTCAAAACATTTGCTGACATGTATTTGTAGAGAGAATTTCCTCACTGGCAGCTCCCTGTACTGGTGAAATCAAAGGTTTTGTGTAGGGTATGCATGCCTCCACCAAGGCCAACTAAACCATAAATTCTTGGGTGAAAGTTTACAATTTAAACTAAAATTAATGTTCTTACATGGTTTTAAATTCTGGATCATTCCACTCCACTTTCCAGCCAGTATGTTATTTAGAAATAATAGCTCACATTTATATAGCAGTTTAGAGTTTACAGATTGCTTTCTTCTCAAGAAAGCTGTGAAAAAAATAGTATTCTTTTTTTTACATATTAATTCATCAAGCATTTATTAAGTGGCTTGTGTGTGCAAGCATTGTGCTAGGTGATGGGGATACAAAGATACAATAAGTACACAGATTGATCAGTACAGGAGGAGAGAATTCTAACAATGTGGGGAATTGGGAAAGGCTTCATAGAGGAGGTGAGGCAGTGGGAGCTTAAAGTCCTGGAGAAGGGGTCAGGAAGATCAGGAAAAGGGCCTCAAATCCTGACGCTGAATTTTTTTCATCTGTATGACCATGGGTGAGTCACTTAGCATCTGAGTTTCAGTTTTCTAATCTATAAAATGGGGGTGATAACAGTGGTGTTTAGAGGCTCAGATGAAATCTTTGTAATGTGCTTTGCACACTTTAAAACACTGCATAAGTGTCAGTTATTGTTATTATTGAACAATGCTCAAGCTTCCTGAGAGGCAAAGAATAAGAAAGGGAAAGAGGACACGCATGTGGAATAGCCTGTGCAAAGCTGTAGAAGTAGGAGATGGACTTAGGAGCAAACTGGCAAATAGGCCAGTTTGTCTATAATGTAGCACGTGAGCAAGGGAATTATATGAAATATACGTATGAAAAGTTAGACTGGAGACAGATTGTGAAGAGCTTTGAATGCCAAACTGTTGTTTTATTCTAGAGGCAATAGAGAGCCATTGGAGATTCTTGAGCAGGGAATGATATGGTCATACTTGTGCTTTAAGAAGATGATTTTGGCAGCTCTGTGGAGGGTGGATTAGAAAGGGGAGAGGCTAGAGGTATAGAGACCAATAAGGAGGCTATTTCAGTAGTCCAGGCAAGAGGTGATGAAGGCCCAAAATGGATGGTAGCTTGGTGAGTGGAAAGGAGGAGATGGAAGTAAGAGATGTTGTGGAGTTAGAATCAACAAGATTTTACAGTTGATTAGCTATTGGAAGTGGGTAATCAGGATAGGAAAGAGTCAAAGATGACTCCTAGGTTTCAAACATGGGTGACTGGAAGGATGGTGGTGTTTTTCAACAAAAATAGAGCTTTGGAAGCAGGGAGAGTTTAGAGGGGGGAAGAAAACATGTTGGATTTGAGATACCCACAAGGCATCCAGATGGAGATGTCCAGAAGTTCATTGGTGGTGACTGGAGCTCATTCAGTTTTGAGGAAACATCTACATAGAGATAATAATTGGACCTTTGGGAATGGATGAGATTGCTGAGATGGTGTGATCGAGAGAAGTAGTCTCAGGATGGAACCTTGATGGGTAGGGATGCATCTAGTTGACAGCAAAATATCCTGAGGGCTAGTCATAGACAGGTAGGAAGAGAACTAGAAAAAGACCCTTGAAAGAAAGAGTATTTAGGAATGATCAAAAGGGTCAAAAGCTGCAGAGAAAACTAGTACCATTTCAATGAGACTTCTTGCCCTCCACTTCACAATGCTTAAGGATAAGGACAAAAAAAAAAGGAGAAAGACCAAAGGAAAAAGGAAAGAAATAAGCATTTATTAAATGCCTACCATTTGCCAAGAATTCTGCTAAATGTTATACAAATTTTATTGCATTTGATTCTCACCTCTCCCTGGGAGGTAGGTGCTATTGTTATCCCCATTTTACAGTTAAGAAAACTGAGGCAGACAGATTAAGTGACTTGCCCAGGGTCACACAGCTGCTAAGTGTCTATAGCTAGATTTGAACTCAGGTCTTCTCGACGTCAGGCCCAGTGCTCTATGGACTATGCCACTTAGCTGCCTGAAGACAAAGCAAAGGCCCTCAAACTTAGCAGTTAAAAGAGGTTGCTGGTAATTTTGGAGAAAACAGTTTCAGTCAAGTGGTAAGAGTCAGAAACCAGACTGAAAGGGATTGAGAAATGAGTGGCAACACTAATATAAAGGAAAACAATGGTGAAAGACTTCAGATCTGTGATCAATGCACTGACCAATCATGACTTCAGACAGCTGTCAGTGAAATTTACCTATTGCCTCTTACCAGAGAGGTGGTTGTATAGAGATGTGGAATAAAGCATATATCGATTGATTTATTTTGCTTAACTATTGTTTGCAAGGGAGGGATCTTCTGTTATTGGGAAGTATCATTGGGAAATAACAGAAAAAAGTAATTTTAGAGTAGGAAATAATACCTCAAGCAATATTGTCTTTAAATAGAAACCACTGTCTGTTTTGGATTGAATTGTTTTTCATCTTTGTAACCTCAGTGCTTGCACATAGTAGGCTCTTAATAATTGTTTTGGCATACACGAGTGAATTTTTAATGTGATAGGAAATGAGGTAATGGAGGCTGTGGTGGTGGTGGTGGTGGTAGTGTGTGTGTGTCTGTGTGTGTATGTCTGTCTGTCTCTGTCTGTCTGTCTCTATGTGGTATGGGTTCCAAGAGTGTAGCAGCTTAATTAAATGTCTGTGATATACCTTGCTATCCTGTTTTGATTAAATCCCTTTTAATGAAATGAAAACAGGTTTAGGAAGAGTGAGACAGAGAGTGATAGAAGGATAGGAAACTAACGTGAGAGTGGAATTCCAGTGTTCTGGATTGTGGAGGTAGATATCTCATGGGGGATGGTAAGATCAAAATTATGGTTAGTCTGTTTGGCTGTGGGTCAGAGTCATTGAGGTTGAAGAAATGGAAATTTAACAATAGAATGGGGATTCCAGAGGTAAACAGAAAGGAAGGGCAGAGCAGAATGAAGATCCTATCCAGGAGGATAGGATGGTGACAGGAGGGTGCCAAGGATGGAGATGAGAAAGAAAAAAGTGATAGTAGAAAATGAGGGTGTTTTTTCCATAGGCAGTTGGTGACTTTGAATCACTGCTGTTCATAGAGAAGGAAAATAGAGTTTGCTAGCCAGAGAACAGAGAAATTGTACTATTTGGGGGTCCCACCTTCAAGGGACCTGTGATGATAGAGTGGTGTCAGTTTTCTGTCAAGTACCAGGGAAGAAGGGGAAGTGAGGCCAGGCTTCCAAATCCATTCTGTTAAGTGGACCTCTAGCTGTTCATTTTCACTGGTTAAGTACTGGGGGCTCCTTGGGCAATGTTTGGCTCCTGGCCCTGCAGTGGTAGTTCAGGCTCAACTTCCTTGGGTTTCACTAGTGTGCTTACCTTGGGGTGCTGAGATTCTGAGAGGCTGAGGGATTAATCACACACCTAGTGATTCTCCTAGCTAGAAAACAAGCTTGTTTTAATATTAACGTAAGCAAATACAATAAGGTTTTAAAAATAAAAATATATGTAATGTAGTCCTGATGAAAAGGGAAGGTATTCTAGTAGTGTTTCAGAGAGGCAGGAATTGTAATGTTGATGAGGTACCAGTCTGCTCCCTGCAACCTGACTTCCTCAGTTTTCATTTGGGTCCCATGAAGATAGGTGCTACCCTGGGTTCTAGAGTATCCCATAGGTAGTGACTTTTAAAAAATATAATATGAGAGTTCCCACTGATAGGCTGTTGACTTTGCACAGTCCTCCTCTCACTTAAATCTAATTCACTTGCAAATCATGGTGTCACCTTTCTGATGCAGCAGTCCTCGTTGAGAATGAAAGACAAACAACCCTTCCGGATAGTATAAGCACAGACAGACATAGAAGATACTGCAGCTCCTCTGATTCTAGTCCCAAAGGATGGTCAATCAATCATATAACCAGGTCCTTAGATGTGACTGCATCTCTGTACTTTAGCTACCTTCATGCACAATATCTTTTAAAAAGGCAGCAGAATGGAATGGTCAGTTTTGTCTACAACACAGCGGCATTGTGCAGTGAATTCTGGGCTTTGAGTCAGGGAGAACTGGGTTTAAACCTGTGCTGTGAAATTTGCTACTTGTGTGACCCTGTACAAGTTACTCTTTGTGCCTGGGTAATTCCTTAGGACTTATACTAAGTCTTAAAACGGTTGCTCTCTGTTAAGTGGAAAGGTTCTCACACTGTTAGTTTCCTCTGCTGATGACATCCCTTCAGCAGCATTGTTTGCCCTAAAGACCTTGCCCACTGGAACCCTGGGAGAACTACAGTCAATTTCAGTCAATTGACCTTGCCCTGTGAATATTTCTTTTTTTTTTTCTTATGAATTCTGCATGTGTTTTTATATTTGACTGTAAATCTAAAAACAGTTAGTGTCCTAGGATGTGTCTGAAACCTGAAATTCCTTCTCTTCTTCCCCAGTTATCAGTTATCAAAGCCTACTGTCTTTAGCATTATATATTCTCTGATATCTGTTCTTTCCCCTCCCCTCATTCCTTAGTCTTCTTTACCACCCATCTACACTATTAAAATAGCTTTTTTTTTTTTTTGGTGAGGCAGTTGGGGTTAAGTGACTTGCCCGGAGTCACACAGCTTAGCAGTGAGTGTCTAAGGTCAGATTTGAACTCAGGTCCTCCTGACTCCAGGGCCTTGCTGTATTCACTGCACCTAGCTGCCCCTAAAATAACTTTTATTGTTGCGTTAAAAAGGTTTTGTTGATTCAGGTTTTGTTTTTTGATTTACACTCATTAAACCCTTGCTTGCAACAAGAATGGTTAAATAAAAACATCTAATACAAAGACAGTGTCCTACATTGCATACAATACAGGTATTGTACAATACATGCCCTACAGGTTCCTTATGTGTCTTGCCTTGAGGGAGGAGATATATTGCATTATCCCTATTCTAGGACCCTAACTGATTATTTTTGGACTTTTACCACAGTTATCTCCCCTTTAAACCTCCTCCCTCCATTAAATCCTTCCTTGTAACCCTGAAAGTTATTGTTCTGGAAGAGGACAATGTCATCAGAGAGGTGATGCCATGACTGCAAGTGAATTGGATTTAAGTGAGGGGGGCTGTGCAAAGTCACCAGCCTCACTTTCTCTTCCAGAGCCATCTGGGTCCAGTGGCCAGATATAGATCTGGACGACAGGAATGGCCTTGGATGCAGTGGGAGACCTTGGCCTTTTTAAGCTAAGGTCTTTAACAGGGCTCACTTTGACTGGGGTGAGTAGTAAGGCTGGGTAGTAAAAGTAACAAAGAAAAGCATCTAAGCAAAGCCATAATGACTTCATCTGACTGTATGTACTGCATCCCATATCTGTAGTCCCAAGTTGTTTATTGGAAGCAGGGAAGTGTTGCCTTTTCCTTTCTCTGAGGACTGATACTGTTCTTTAAAATTCATCAGTGTTTGACTGCTTTGGAGGGTCATCATGTACTTTTTTGTCATCACTGTGTCTCTTTGGTTCTGCTCTCTTCACTTTGTCCCATTACTTCATACAAGTCTTCCTGTAATTCTGGACTTTTTTTATTTCTCATTGCACAATTTACCACATATTCATGTACCACAATTTGTTAAGCCATTTCCCAGGTGATGGATACCTGTTTTGTTTCCAGGTTTAACTTTATAGTAGCTTTTATAGCGCTTTGTAGTAGTGCTATTATGAATGCTGTGTGTGTGGTTTGTGGATATGAGTATGTGTGTGTGGGTGTGCATGTATGTGTGTATGGTTTAGGTATAAACATATACACATAAACAAGGAAGACCTTTCTGTCATTTGACTGGGGGTTTATGCCTCATAATGAGATAAGTTGGTAGGAATGAGGAGATTTTGACTTTTGGGCATAATTTAATATTGATTTATAGAATTTGCAGAATCAGTTGGACCATTTGCTGTGGAAGTCTCTTGCATCAGAATCCAAAATGCTGGGGTTTCTCATGTGTGCTTTGCTGTACATGTTTTGCTCTACAGTGCTGGGGCTAGTGGTTTATCATATTTTAAAAATGCTTTGAATCATGAAATGAGGAGAGAGGGAGATGTCAGGTAAATACTATTCGTCTTCCTCCACCCCCCCCTTTTTCCTTGACTTTTCTAAATATGTATATGTTTAACTTCAGTGGAATTTTTGGAGGTTTAAGTGGGTTTTGGGGGGATGGGTAATTCATGTTTTTGATATAGGGTTTGAAGTACAAGTGATGAGTCATAGCTCAGCTGAGCTTTTTTCTCTCCTGTCCTACTTAGCATACAAATTGCTTCTGATCAGATACTGCCAGTACAAAGGAGAACTCCTAAACTACTAGATCGGTATCTACCAGTAGATTTTGACATCTTACCTGGATGATTTCCAAGCCAGTTGTCTATGTCATATTTCTCTCTCTCAGGCTTCTAAAATTCTCAATGGGGAATGGAAGATATTAAGATTTAGGCTTTCTTTCAACCAGTTCATTTATTAGAACAGTTTCCCACTAGTTCATTTATTTGTACCTCAAAATGTTGTCTTTTCACTTTCATTTTTATGTGATTTCTAAATTCTTTGCATTTTACCTTCTTTCTCACATTTTTAGTTTCTTTTATGATATTTTCGATGTACTGTCATTGATCTCTTCCACCTTTGCTCCTCCATAACACTCCCTTATCCCCCTTCCCTGTTGGAACTGTGAAAGAATACTAGACGGTCCAGTGCTTGGATTGTAGATGGAGAAGTAGGCCTAGTTTTAGTGAACTGAGTAAGGAGGGAGAGGAAGGAATAATTTTAGTCATTGCCAGCTGATCAGAGACATTTAAGTATTGCAGCTACATACAGGTTGGCAGTCATAAGCATATGGAGTAAATAGAGTAGAGCTTTGTCCAGTTGAGGAAGTTTTAACAATATCATAATCCGTCTACATGAATTCAGCATATTCCTGGACTACAGCCTTTCCCCTACTATTCCTAGAAGTGTTTATCTTCTCTTTCTAGTGTCCCTTTGCTTATGCCCCAATTCAAACTAAATTTTTTCTAACATTTTCAGGTCCATGAGGAAGCAGGAGCTCTCATCTGGTTCTTTAGCTCTTACTACCAGTTTTGTTCTGAGTTTCTGAGCAGCAGGTCTAACTTTGTCCCCAACTCCTAGAGAAGTGTTTCAACTAACTCACTTTCCCCTTTTACTCACTATTCTCTGCTACCCATCAAGATGCTTGGGGTTCCTTTATCTTTTGTTGAATTGGAACACAGCATATTCCTTAGACTCAGATAGATTACCATTACCATCCTTTGTCCTCAGGTATTCTTCTACCTGAAACAAAGATCTATACAGGAAGGCATATTTATTATATTATTCAGTTCTGGCACCATATTTTAGGGAGAATGTTGGCAAGCTGTCCAGAGGAAGCCAACCAGGTTGGTGAAGACTGGAGATGAGTTGAAGAAACTTGGGGTGTTTAGCCTGGAGAAGAGGTAGGGGAGTATAGCTGTCTTTAATCTTGACTCTGCCACTTTTTCCCTGTATAGTTTTGGGAAAGGCATTTAATATCTCTGGACCTTAGTTTCTTCTTCTATAAAATAATGAGGGTGGGCTAGATGACCTCTAAAGACCTTCTAATTATACATCTATTATTTTGTATTTGATAGAGCCAGTGGTAGCATGGAAAAGTAGATTGGGAAGGTGGTGTGGGAAGTTCTATAGGGATCTTGAAGAAATTTTGGATGATGGGTGTGATTATAGCTACTTTAAGTAGCCTTGTTTATATGTGGCTGCTATGAAGGTGAAAGCTATGACTTCTGTGACCACTGATGGACAAACTAATATATTGAAGTAGAACTGGATCAAGGTTAAGATTGAAAAGACATCTTTGGCTATCCATACAAATTATGAATTGGTTTGGGTCCTATTCACATTTATATGTGAATTGTACTCTTGATCCTTCTTTAGTTTCCTTCACTTTAGCACAAGAATTAGGTGACATTTGCATTTTCTGTTTATTATGTCAGGTGGTGAGACCAGGACCACATATGAAGAGACAACTTTGAAGCAGGAAATTTTAGATAATAATTATCAATTATTACACACAGAAGAACAATCACCCTTATTTAATGAATATGGGAATTCTTTCAGTCAGAACTCAGCCATAGTTGGACTTAAAGTATTCCAAACTAAAGAAGAAGCTTATGATTGTCAGAAGTGTGGAGAAAGCTTTATTTCTATGACACATCTTACTCAACACCAGAACCTTCACACTGGACCAGGTCGCTATGAATGTTATGAATGTGGGAAAAGGTTTAACCGGAGTTATGATCTGATTCGACATCAAGTTATTCATACTGGAGAGAGACCATTTTCCTGTAATGAATGTGGGAAAACCTTTAAGCGAAAATCAACACTTATTGAACACCAGAATATTCATACTGGAGAGAAACCTTATAGATGTAACAAATGTGGAAGAGCCTTCCGACAGAACACTGGCCTAATTGAACATCAGAAGATTCACACCATTGAGAAACCCTACAAATGTAATGAATGTGAAAAGGCTTTCAGTAATAGTTCAAGCCTTCTTCAGCATCAGATTGCACATACTGGAGAAAAGCCCTACAAATGTGATGAATGTGGAAAAGCTTTCATAAATAGCTCAAGTCTCCTTCGACATCATAACATTCACAAAGGAGGAAAACTCTATAAATGTGAGGAATGTGGGAAAACTTTGAGTAACAGTTTGAGCTTTTTTCAGCATTTGAAAATTCATACTGGAGAGAAACCATATAAATGTAATGATTGTGGGAAAGGTTTTATATGTAATTCATACCTTGTTGAACATAAAAGAATTCATACTGGAGAGAGACCATATGTGTGTAAAGAATGTGGGAAAGCTTTCAGGAGGTCCTGGAACCTTACTGAGCATCAGAGAAGTCATAACTCAGAGAAATCCTATAGGTGTAATGAGTGTGGAAAAGCTTTCAAGAATAGCTCTAGTCTTTTTCATCATCAAAGAATCCATAGTGGAGGGAAACCTTTTGACTGTAATGAATGTGGTATGACTTTCAGGCGCAAATCACGCCTTATTGACCATCAAAGAATTCATACTGGAGAAAAACCATATGAATGTGACAAATGTATGAAGAGTTTTAGTCACCGTTCACAACTTCTTGAACACATGAGAACTCACACTGGGGAAAAGCACTATGAATGTAATCAGTGTGGAAAATCCTTTACTAGAAATTCAGGCCTTTTACGTCACCAGAAAATACACACTGGAGAAAAACCATATGAATGTAATCAGTGTGGGAAAGCATTTAGCAATAGCTCATGCCTCATTGAGCATGAGAGAATACATACTACAGAGAAACCTTACAAATGTAATGAATGTGGGAAAGCTTTCTGTAAGAAATCATACCTCACTGGACATCAGGTAATTCACTCTAAAGAGAAACCCTACAAATGTAATGAATGTGGGAAATCGTACAGTCGACGTTTCCGTCTTGTTGAACATCAGAGAATTCATACTGGAGAGAAACCCTATGAATGTAGTGAATGTGGGAAAGCTTTTAGTCGAAGTGCACTTTTTATTAAACATCAGATAATTCATACCAAAGAGAAACCCTATATATGTGATCAATGTGGCAAAGCATTTAGTCTGAGAAAACATCTTGTTCAACATCAGAGAATCCATACTGAAGAGAAACCTTTCAAATGCAATGAATGTGGGAAGGCCTTCAGGCACAAGTCAACATTTCATGACCATCAGAAAACACACACTGGAGATAAACCCTGTAAATGTAATGAATGTGGGAAATCTTTCAATCGGATCTTTCACCTTATTGAACATCAACGAACTCATACTAAAGAAAAACCTTATGAGTGTAATGAATGTGGGAAATCTTTTAGTCGAAGCTCAGTCTTTATTAAGCACCAGAAAATTCATACTAAAGAGAAACTAGATTAACGTAATTAATATGGGAAAGCTTTTAGTTTAATACCATACTTTGTTGAATATTGAAGAATTTCTACCTGGAAAAAAAAATGAATGTGGAGAAAGCCTTCAATAGGAGCTCACGTGATTTACGTGATACGAAACAGTTATTTTAAGAAATGGAAATTTCAGTCCTGTCTCAAGCAATATTTCATATTAAAAAAGGTATTGATTGGATAGTGTCACTCATCTCCATAGACTCAAAGATAGGGAACTGTATCCTTAAAGGTCAGTCCCTCGTTGCTTCTTGTCTAAACTATTGTGGTGGCTTTTAATTGGGCTTCCTGCTTCTAGTCTCTCTTCTCTTTCAAATCTGACCTCAACATTTCTGCCAGATTGATATTCCTAAAATACATATCTGACTATTTCATTCTTCTATTCAAAAATCTTCCCTATTGCCTGTAGAATAAAATAGAAAATTATTTGCTCAGCATTTAAAGTCCAACATAATCTGACTAGTCTTTCTAGTCTTATTTCAAATTACTCCCCTCACGTACTCTCTGTTACTGTCAAGCCAGCTACTGGCTGCTTCTTATGCATGACATTTTGTCTCTTTCCTTGCCTTTTTGCAGGTCCCCTAAATCCCTACCATGATTCCTCTTCATCTCTTGCCTCTTAGATTTTCTAGTTTCCTTCAAGGCTCAATTTAGGTTCTTTAGAAGACAAGGCCTTTTCTATTCTCCCCCAGTTAGTGTTCTCTCCCTCTTGAAATTGGTTGGTATTTACTTTGTTTATAAATTGTATTTACTGTCTTTGTATGTGTCATCACTCCCAGAACAATGTAAGTTCCTTGAGGGCTGAAACTGTTTTATTTTTCTGTTTGTTTCCCTAGTGCCTGGCATATTTTGCACATACTAGGCACTTGATGAATATTTGTTGAATTGAATTGAATTGGGCCAACTGTAAGCTTTGTCAGTGAAGGAAAAAGTATACTCAAATTAGAAGTAAGCTGTAGAGTAGGCTATCCTTCCTGGAAAGCATTTTACTCCATTGTTTTTTTTATGCCAAGTAGTCTGAAGTTATTTAATAGAAGTTATTATATTAATGTAGGATAGTGGAAGTAATGGTACTTGGAGTAGTATATAGCTTAATAAAAAAACTGTCATACAAGAGATACTGCCTCAGTATCTTTGAAGAGAACAGTTGTCAAAAAAGCAGATAGAATTCAAGGAGAGGAAATAGAGATTGAATATCAAGCCAGGTTTGGTTTTTTGGGTTTTTTTTGATGCTGAATGATGTAGGAATTTTCCACCATTTGTTAGTTATTCTCCTCCCCTTGTCAGGAGGGTTTCTTCACTGTACAAAGGAAATAACTCCAAAGAAAAGTAGGACTGACATAAGATCTCAAATTGTAATGTCACCAGTGACTCTTTCCTAGGTCTGTGGAGCAAGAACACAAACCTATGGATGGGTACCCCCTTTTCAAGAAGAATCAGCAAATGCTTCTGGGACTGTTGAGAGTAAGGAGAGTCCAATACTTTTCACACAGTTCTGAATGTTCACAGTGGAAAGAGATGAGGATGAAGGGAAATCATAAGTATTGGCTTCCATCCCGGTTTTTGTTAATAATTTTTCTCTATGACCTCTAAGCCAGAAACATAAATACTAACCAAAGAGCAGGCAAGAAGATCCCTATTTAGAAGTGATATAAGTGGCACCCTGGGATTCAGTAGCTCCAACTTCCTGCCCACTTTTTCATAGAATCTTAGAGCTCTAAAAGGAATCTAATGTGGCCCCTTCATTTTACAGATGAGAAAACTGGGATCCACAGAGGGGAAGTGACTCACCTTTGGAGGCTGTTAGAGTACCAGGTCATATGTAGGGTGAAAGTTACACAAACATCTAGCCTTTGCCGACCGTCTTTGGTTTATTTTTGAACGGGGAACTGGGATTCAAAAGACTACAGATATGAACAGTAGGTCAAAATAAATCTAATAGGGTGAAGTATAGTAGGGGCAAATGTAAAATCTTTCACTTGGGTTGAAAAATTCAACCACCAAGGAATAGATTATGCATTCTTAGAAAAGTGCATGTAAAAAAAGACCCTCAACATGGAGAGTACTATCTGTGCACCTTTTGATGGACTGCAAAATCAATATGAATGAACAATATAACAGACAAAAAAGCTAATGTAATCTTAATAAGTGTATGGCATTCACATAATAAAAGTATGGCATCTAGAATGAGGAAGTTATTTATTATACTGTTCTCTTCACTGGTTAGACTCTACCATATTCATTTCTGGTTGCCAGAGTTTGGGAAGGGTGTTGGAAAACAAGTTCATATAGAGAAATATGATCTAGATGGTGAGAGTTCTGGAAAACATGCCATATGATGATCATTTCAAGAAACTGGGAGTGTTTATCATGGAGAAAATACTAAGGATAGGGGTTCTTAATCTTTTATGTGTTGTGGACCCCTTTGGCAATCTGGTGAAGTCTATGGATCCTTTGGAATAATATTTTAAAAATTATAAAATACGTATGATTACAGTGGAAACCAATTATATTGAAATAGATATAAACATTAAAAGACAAACCAAAATCTCACAGACCCCCAACTTAAGTGTAGGATACTAATCTTCAAATACTTAAATGGCCATTACATAGAAGAGGGTTAGGATGAGGGTTGCACTTGGCCTCACGTTCCGCAACAGGTCCAATTGGTGATAAGTAACAGAGCCAGATTTTGGTTCGATATAAGGAAAAACTTAATCAAAAATATAGTTATCCAAAAGTTGGAATGAGCTGCCTCAAGAGATAGCTCTACATCTCTAGAGGTCTTTGAGGAATGACCACTTTTTGGGAATTCTATATAGGATAGTTCTGCTTCACATATGAATAGGATTTTATTACTTCTGAAGTACTTTCCAGATCAGATTTTATTATCCCATTACCTAGAAGATGAAGTCTAAACTCCTCAGCCAGGCTTTATTGTATATTTGAAAATTTGGCTGTATTGTCCTTTTGTGGGCTTAACTCATGTGAGGCATTTCTAGCTTTTTATTCAAGGCATGTTGATCTACTTTATCACATCTGAACATATGTTTTGCTTTTCTTGTTTTCATGTACTTGCTTTATACCTTCTTTCCCTTCAATGCCTTTATTCTGTCTTAGTCAAATCTTACCTCTCTTCTCTATCATGAAACTTTCTTAGCCCACACTGATTGTTTCCTTATAAGAATTCGTTTGACATTGATGTACTGTGAGAACCCTAGTTCCCACTTATCCTTCTTGGTCGTCTTAAATTGAGCCCTCTGGAACTTAAGTCCTCTTGTTAAACTTTCCTTTGTCTTAGACCTCTTCTTCCTTTCTTCTATCTTTTAGTAGTAGTAAAAGTCTGGCTTTCCCTAGAAGACATTGAATCACCCATCAAGTACTAGGGGCATCTCTTATAGCCTCCAACACACTGGACCAGAATCTTGGTCCATCTTATTCCTTATTACCACTTCGAGACCTTTTCTCTTTCATTATCACTCAGTAACCATTTCTCTTTTGAAGTGGACTCCATCCGTGTATAGCATCCTATCCAAATCTTGGTTGTAGTTAATCCCCTTCTTTCTGAAGAAGTTCTGTACCTTAAAATCTTCTACTCTTCTGTAACCTTCACTCTCAGATTTGGGAAACTTCGGCAAGTAGACATCCTCAAAAACACCCAGCCTGCTAAATTTTATCAACCTGAATTCCCATGATCTACAACTTTGTTCCATCCCAGCTATACACAGGGGATAACTGATGAGGTCTAAAGGTTTAGGGGTGCCGGAACCCTGAGATCCTGATGTTATACCGAGAAATTAGCGAGTTGACCACCCAGACTAATTTTAAATTGTGGACTTTATTATATTAGCGCACGGCTGCCAGGAATATTCACATCCAAATCAAGCAGCCCCCATCAGGGGTCGAGCCAGGGTTTATATAGGGAGTATACAGGACAGGGAGGGGGATGGATCCTAGAAGTCAGGCAAGAGAAAGAGTTTTTTTTTTTTGAGCTGGTCAAGGACACCCCTCTCCCTATCTAGATATGATAATGCTCTGCAAACTTTCGCATAATGGAGGCTTCCAGAGATATGACTGAGGGCTGTGGCCTGAGCAACCAGATAAGGGTCTGGCTAAGGAGTTTGGAGGTTTCCAGAGATATGATCTGAGGGCTGTGGCCTGAGCAACCAGATAAGGGTCTTGCTAAGGAATTTGGAGTTTTCCATGGCCTAAAGGGTTCTACTACCTAAATGGTAAAATAATGTTCTGCATTACACTGACAAGTGGCGAGTCCTGTCCGAAAGAATTCTACCCAAATCTTGGTTCAGCCAGAGAAAGAGTTTATTAGAAATAAATCATACAGGCCAGACTCTTAAGGAATCTGAACATTAGTGACGCCCATGAAGACCAACCAGCAAGAGGAAATCTCAGGATTTAAATGAGGGCTAGGGTGGCTCTTATATACATTCAAATAATTTTGAGTGTTTGGAAGAGGGGCTGGGAGAAAGATCCAGAAGCTGGGGTGAGTTTAGTGAGAATTCCAATTGAAATGTCTGGGAATAGACAATGGGAATAGATAATGAAGCTGGGGTGAGTCAAGAATTCAGTGTTTGGGAGGTTGAACAGACAATAGGAATAGATAATGAAGGGAACTGGAAGGAAGAGGTTTGAATGGGGTCTGGATAAGATCAAAGGTGGGAAATATACTAGAGCTTCATTAGGTTTTCAAAGGGAGATAGGGAGAGTCTACAAGGAAAAGTGGAATATTGCCTCAGGTAACTGTTTGAGACCAGAGTGAAGTTAAGAGTTTTCTGGGGCCTGTAGACAAATGGGACCCAGATTGTTTTTGGGGCAAGGGGCAAAGGTCCATACCCTTGATCTCACCATTCCAACAAATTTTTTTATCTCTGCAATCCAGAACTATGGAATTCCTCTCAAATTTCAACCTTCTAGGCCAAGGGTGGGAGCCTTCGGCCTCAAGGCCACATGTAGCCCTCTAGATCCTTTGGTGCAGCCTTTTGACTGAGTCACAAGTTTTACAGAACAAATACTTTTAAGGAGATTTGTTCTTTGAAGTTTAGATTCAGTCCAAGGGCTGTACTTGGGGACCTAGAGGGCCACATGTGGCCTTGAGGCAGCAGGTTTCCCACCCCTGTTCTAGGTTTTGATTTCTTCTTATACTCCTAAATCTATGCTTCATCCTCACTGAAACTTCCAGCTTCTATACTTCGAAGCTTTCCTACTCTGACATCCCTGCTCTCAACTCTGTCCTTTTGCAACCCTCCAGATAACTAGCATGTCTAGTATTGTAATGCAGAACATTATTTTACCATTTAGGTAGTAGAACCCTTTAGGCCATGGAAAACTCCAAATTCCTTTGCAAGACCCTTATCTGGCTGCTCAGGCTCCAGCCCTCAGATCATATCTCTGGAAACCTCCAAATTCCTTAGCAAGACCCTTATCTAGCTGCTTAGGCCACAGCCCTCAGATCATATCTCTGGAAGCCTCCATTGTGAGAAAGTTTGCAGAGCATTATCATATCTACACAGAGGGAGAAGGGTGTCCTTGACCAGCTCCCCAAAAAACCTCTTCCTCTTGCCAGACTTCAAAGATCCATCCCCCTCCCTGTCCTGTATACTCCCTATATAAACCCTAGCTCGACCCCTGATGGGTGCTGCTTGATTTGGATGTGAATATCCCGGGCAGCCGCGCACTAATAAAGTCCACAATTTAAAATTAGCTTGGGTGGTCAACTCGCTCATTTCTTGGTATAACAGTATATGTTCAAACAACATAGAATGTTTTCTTTTTGCTCCTTTTGCTGTTGATATTTTGCTAACCACCACTTTGGGTTATTCTCACTATCTTCATTTTCCACTTCTATTCAGATATAGCTTAACACTGAGTAGTACATAACTGAAGTCATTGAACACAAGTCACATCGCTGTACTGAGTTCACTACAAATGTGTCTGATCCCACCTGAACCTCTCATACTGCATGGTTGTCCTTTCATGCTTCCTGATTGAAAATCACACCACAAATGTTTCAGACCCTCTTCTTTCCTCAAGCCTTCTACACCAGCTCTTGCTTTCTGTCAGTATAGGACTTTGCTACTACTCCTGAGAAAGTCACCAGTTTCTCTTTTCTCCTCTATTCTGTACCTTCAGTCTACTATATGGCACCCACCATTCTTTTCCTTTGCTTCAGTCCCTGATGAAGGGGTGCAATTCTTTTTCTTTCCCAGGCCAGTTACTCTACTTGTACTTGACTTCCATGCCCTCCCATCTCCTCTGGGAGCTTGTGCCTTCCATCATCACCCTCCCCCTGTCCTATCCCAACTATCTTTCCTTTTCAGTCTGTCACAGAATTTGAGGTTTGGAAAGGGTCCCAGCAGTTGTTTAGTCCACCCCCTTATGAAAGGAATTTCATAATTGACAAGTGGCCATCCAGTCTTTGCTCGAAGACCTCAAAGGAAGGGGAACCCATCACCTCTCCTGGTGGCCCATTCCACTTCTGGACTGCTAGTTGTAAGGAAATTATTTCTGACATCAAGCTTAAATTTGCCTCTTTGCAACTTCTACCTGTTGTAGAAATGTACTGACTTCATTCCCTTCTACCTACCAATATGCCCAGGTCCACTCTGTCCTTAAAAACCCTTAAGATATGGTCCTTTACCTTTCCTTCCTTTCATGTCCAAACTCCTAATAAAGGCCATTTAAGTTTGTTATCTTTACTTCTTCATATCTATCACTTCTCAACACTTTGCAATATCTATTTCCAACAAAGGTTACTGATAATCTCTCTCCCTTTTTTGGGGGGGGCTAGGCAGTGGGGTGAAGTGATTTGCCCAGGGTCACACAGCTAATAAGTGTGATATGTCTGAGACCAGATTTGAACTCAGGTCCTCCTGCATCCAGGGCCAGTGCTCTATTCACTGCACCACCTAGCTGCTTGACTAATGATCTCTTAACTGGTGAATACTATATCTTTTTTCATTCAACCTTGAACCTCCGCAGCTTTTCACACTACTGACCACACCCTCCAGTGTATTTTCTCCACCCTTGGCTTTCATGACATTACTCTTGGTTCTCTTACTTTCTGACTACATTTCAGGCTTTTTTTTTTTTTGGATCATCATTCATTTGCTGGGTACTCATTAAGCCCATCTTCTCCTTTTCTCTCTCCACACCCTTTCTCAATGATATCAGAA